CTCTCTCTCTCTCTGCCTCTCTGTGTCAGCCTCACTCTGTCTGTCTGCTATTCTTTGCTCTTCCAGGCCAGCATTACCTCGAGTAAGATGATGAATATTTTATGAGCTCATTTGGTACAAATGCCTTTAGCTCTTATCACAGACTTATAAAGGGATTGGAAGCAGTACAAAAGACATTATCCAGGTTTGGTTACAGCATTATCTGGATAGTGATTGCACACTTGCACCATTCTTTCATTTTACATGAAGATGAATCTTCATCCCATCAAGCATATTGCCTTAGCTCTTTCAGCACATTATCAAGAAAATGAAGCTATGCCTATATTTAGGATTTGTGGTTTAAAATATGTTTTTTGAGGCATCTGTACTCAGTAGAGGAATGCATGGTGGGGTATTTTTTGCGAGGGTAATTATCCAAGTATTTACTTTGGTTTCATCTTCACTATCATCATCAGCTAAAAACTACTTGGTGTTTCAGACACTTCATGTGTCAAATGCAAGCTTAGGCAGCACAGAAGGTTGCTACCAGTCAGTAAGAAAGATTGATAGCATAGTTGGCCTTGCTACCTGTCCTCTTTAGCATATTTTTCATAAATTACCTAATTTGCCTGTGACAACATCTTAAACACTTTGACGGCCAACTGAGGTTTAAAATCAATGTTTAGATCAATGCACTGTCTGGTCTAAAAATGTTACCATCATTTAGTGCATGTCAAACTGCAGGTGAAATCCAAGTTTCAGGTTTATTTGAGATTTTAATATACACACTGGAGTAAGTTCAGCAGGTTTCCAGTCTTGTCTCTCCATTTCCATCTGAATATTTTATGGGAAACACAATGCAGGAAGCATAAATATCAGTGCCCTGAATCATGTACAAATTGCAAGAGCGTGCAGACCTATTTATTAGCTATACAAACTGTTCATTTTAAGAATATGTTAAAAAGCCAGGAAGTCTGTTGCCTGTATGGACTTAACTAGACACAGTAGTAGGTAGGATTGAGTAGTGTTCATATCGTTATGGGGGAAGAGTAAGGTGGAATTTAATTTCTTGTAGTATGGTCATAGAAGACTTTTTCTAAATATCAAACCTAAAGTTCAAATGTCTCGTCTGTCATACTAAATGTGTTGCTTTGTTGTTACACCAACAAAACTAAAATAAATAAAGCAGTTTGGATGTTTTATGCCTTTGAATCTGTTCTGCCGTGTTCAACAGTACGCACCTCAATCTTTAAAAGGATCCTCTTTTTCTCACTTCTGTTTTAATGGAATCTATAAACATTGAAACAGCGAGTGGAGTTATGTATTCTGTGCTCTCTACAAAGGCTGGTCAGATTTAATGGCCTCTGCTATAGTGCTTGATAAAAGATACTGAAACTAGAGATTGTGTGTGTCTTTTCTCTGAAATTATTAGAATAGTTATTACCGTAACAAAAAAAATTCCACCATGATTAAGGTTTACATTCTATGATAAAAGTCAAGTGAAAATTTTGACAACATGAAATTAAACGTATTATAAATTCTTACATAAATTATATATAATGACACTGTGCCCCAGGCTAGCCTTGTGTACTCTACTGGAGCAACATGCTTCGGAGATGTAGAGGAGAATAAAAGGCTGTTAGGATGAATTGAATTGAACTTTCTTGAATAAAAATTATGGATAAAATCTATTAGACAAAAAAGCAGTTTTATTCTCACTCTCTGAAATCAGTAGAAGTTCTAACAACTGCTTATTAGTCTCAGAATGCGATATTTAAAGTACACAGCATCTGCACTGTATTTCCTACAGATATATAAATGTAAGTGAAGGAAAATTAGGAACCATCCAGAGTTACTTGAAGACAATAATACATTTTCTCAAAGTATATTCTTCTCAAAGACAAACCAATGCATTAAAGCTTTCCATCTTGTGAAAATGCAAAAAAAAGAGCTCTTACTATCTTCTCTATACACTTTCCTGCACATTTGTTTTTGTCTCTCCTGTCTTGTAGCATACTTTCAAATACAGAAGCAAGAGCATCTGGAATTCCCTACAGTGATATTAGATGATTATTGGCCTCTTCTCTGCTGTTTTCCTCTTTCTGAAGAGTTCTCAGAGGACGAGAGAGCGAGAACAGTTGAGGCAAGAAGCTGCCTCCATACTAATGAGCTGTTGAAGGCTGTTCTCAAAACTGGCTCCTCCAGACAAACTGGCCTCATTAACACGTCGCATCAAAATCCTTCAGACAGAAGATGCATCAAGATAGAGACAAGACTGTGCTCCCAGCAAACAGAACTAATAAGGATTGGAAAATTGATTGGAAGTATTTACTCATTTCATAAGCTAGGCACAGTTTTATCTGTATTGGCATATTTGTTACCTTTGGTAAATATGTCACATATTTTTGGTAATTAAAAGTAGCATTGCACACCAGACCAATCAGTTCTCTCAGCTGATGGTACTTATTTTTGTTTTCCTGGGTAATTCTGAATAAAAAGTAGCAAACAGTTGCAATATGCATATAACAACACAATAAGTAACTACTCTTTGTCAATTCAAATGGATCTCACATATGTGTCATCACTTTGGCTGTGGCACTTTTTAAAGAGCACCATCATTTTTAACGTTTTACGTCTGCTTCTGTAGGACAAAACAAAACAAAAAACCTGGTCAGAATTCCAAAGTTTTCTTCCTGCAGTATCTCTCTGCAGTATCTGCCTGTCTGTCTTCGGGTTGTCTGTCCCATACGTCCCATACTTGTGAACATGATATCTCAGGAAGGCCTTGAAGGAATTTCTTCAGATTTGGCTCAAACATTCACTTGGACTCAAGGGTGAACTGATCAGAATTTGGTGGTCAAAGGTCAAGGTCACTGCGACTTCACAAAACATGTGTTTGGCCATAACTCAAGAATTCATATGCTAATTATGAAAAACATTCACATGAATGTCTAACAGAATAAAATGACGAATAAGGACTTTTTATGTCCCGAAGGTCAAATGTCAGCTTCACAGTGATATCATAATGTCAGCACCATAACTTGGGAACAGAAGGGGAGATTGTGACCATATGCCACAGTTTGTAGGACACTGAACTAGTGACACTTTCGACTCAAAGGTCAAAGGTCAATGTGACCTCAAAAGAGGTTTTTAATTGTAATTAAAGAATTAATTGAGCGATTGCAGATTTCCCACACATGCTGACTGGAACCACACAGTGAATAAACAATAACTAATACAGTACAGGCTTTCATATTTCCATCTCATCCATTCTGCCTTTGACTTACCGCCTCACATACTGAATCATGTGACTGCAAACAACATATTGAAGTGCGCCTAGCTAATGGTGACCCTGTGAGTGAGTGAGTTTCCCCTACATCTCACAGAGAGCTGTCGCATCCAAAAGTTCCAGGAGAAAAAAAGCACTTCATTTTGTAAAGCTATATTCTTCAAGAATCCATCTTTACTCGGTAATCAATTAATGTATGTTCAGTGGAATCAAAGTGATAACTTCCACAAAAAATACACTTTTCAGTATACGGTTTTATTCAGTTCCTTCCAACTGTTATTTGTTGTTCACCACATACATTATATGAGCCTGGACGGACGTGGATGTAAACTGCAACTTGAGTGGTTGGCGGAGGCATACAACCCTGGGGCACTAATTATAGTTCTGTGTACCTTTCTGTCTGTTTTATTGATTAGAGCTGTACATCCGGATTGTCTGAGGTTATACAGTCTATCTACCAGTGATCTGTACTCACACCACTGGCTGCTTATTCTATTGACTCAAGAGTGCATAGATGGCTGTATATGAATGGCCATGCTTTTAACTTTTCTCCTATTTAGTCTGGTATGTTTATGGTCTTACAGCAACAGCAGCAGTCAAGGTTGGTTTTTCCTTTTAGCATTTGTCTGGTGCTGCTAATGTTAAAAAAAAAATGGAGGCACTTAAAGGGCTCAGGTCTTTATTGATCAAAGCCAAGAAGTCTGTCTTGAAAGTGTGTCTGTTTGTCTGACTGCACGTCTCTATGGGAGGGAGCTATCAGTCTGCATTGTCAGCATCAATAAGAAAGGAAAGGGGAGGATAATGAAAGAGGAAATTGATGAAAATGGTGAGATTCCACTGGAAAAAAAAAGAGAGGATCAGTGATCAAAGAGAGTTGAGGAGGCGAGACAGATTGAATGTAAATCTCTGTGGCTTCCCTACTGGTGGTTATAGCATCATCACATTTTCTCATTAGGAGAGAACACATCACATGTCCAGTGCTCACACCTCATTAAAATAAGGTTTTGATGATTTGACATTTAGGAGACTACATGACACAGATTCAACACATTTTGGGTTGCAAATCCAGTTCATGTCCTCACTCTGTCACTGAACTGCGCTGCATGTGATCTAATACAGCAGAAAAGGTGAAATAAATAAATAAAATTACAGTTTTTCCAGCGAACATTTGATTTAAAATGGCTATGAGTTTGACATTGAGTAATTTAAAACATAACTGTGCACTGAGAGAAGTGTATCATTTGTAGAGAGTTTTTTATTGTCATGTTTGCTTCATTATACCAGTTCACTTGAGGTCCTTCTGCCAGCATCAGTTAAAAAAACATTATATATGAGGAATAGCTCCCATCTGGGTGCTTCCTGTATATATATATGGTGTCTGCTAATTGTGAATTATATTGTTATTGACTTTTGTCTTGTTTGTGTATTTGTTTTCAGCATCACAGCTAAAAAGTATTTTCGTCTGTCTCTTCATCTGTCAACATAAGGGGCTTATTTTCAGTCACTGGCTTCTAATAGGGCCATTTGTTTTTTGTGGCCATCGTAGCTTCTCCCTCGGGGTTGGAAGTGGAGGGTGAAAGGAGTGAGTTGCAATCTGCAACCACACCGCTGGATGCCACTAAATCCCCTACTCACTGGACCTTTAAATGAAAAGGCACCCAAATATCCAAAAGGTCCTTTTTTAAGACTGCTCCGAGGAAAACTGTGTACGTCAGTAAAATATTAGATTTTCTTAACATTCCTAACCCCTTCTCTCTCTCCAAAGACAATAAAGTTGAAAGCTGAGGCTCGGTTGGACCTTCTGCGGCAAGTGGGGGTTGCTGTGGATACCTGGCTAAAGAGCGCCATGAACCAGGTGTGTTTATATGTGTGTGTTTTATGTGTGTGTGTGTGTGTGTGCATGTGTAAGCCTCTCCTTTTCTTTGGCTGACTTGTTTCATGCAGTGCTAGTGTAAAACAGTGTGCGATACGTGTTTGTGAGTGCATTCATACCTGCAACTCTTGAAGTGTGTGTGTGTGTTAAATCCTTTCACGCATGAACTCCAGTTTGTGTAGTGCAGTATGTGCCCGTTAGCCAACTGTGTGTAAACCCGCTTCACTCTCTCTGTGCATGCTGTAGGTGATGGAGGAGCTGGAGAATGAACGCTGGGCCAGCTACACTTCCCACGATCCCTCACTGTCGGTGAGACAACCTCCCCTCACTGTGCATGCGTTGCTGCTTTCTTGCCAAGCCAGCAGATCTTGTCCTGTTTTCACAAAGACAGAGCATTTATTAATGAAATTTGAAAACATTGGAGGAATTAATGAGCAACAAAACCGTAGACATAACATAAACCCTATGCTAATACTTGAATAAGTACAATTCATGCATAAATAGTTTTTGTCAGCAATTTTCGACTTGGCAAGAAAGTGCAATTCTCACACATACACCACGCAACTTTTCACCAACATAAGTCGAAGCTGGTTTGTCTTCCATACACGGGGGCCTCTGTTACGCACTTTAAATGAAAACCACCAGACCACTGAACTGTGTCACTGTATATTAGTCATACATCTACAATTGGCTCATCTGTCTTACCAGCAGTTTGTCTTCTTGCACTACACAAACACCTCACTCAATTCCCCTTGAGGCAAATTTGAAGTTTGTGATGTTGGGCTACATAAATAAAGTTTGACTTGAGTTGAATTCAGTACACTCAAAAGTATAATATTAAATTGTTTCAAACTGACTCATAATCATAGACTTTTCATCCTTTATGATTTCATTATAAGTGAAAACCACCCAGCTAGAACAATTCTCCTGACAAATCACTTCCTGAATGATGTAAATTGCAAGATAATTGACCTCAGCCCTGCTGCCTAATCATCTGTCACGCCAGTTACAGCCTCTTAAAACGCCCCACTTCCCAACTGGAATACTGATGTAGTTTTTATTTTATGACCTTTAGCTTTAATGGCAAGATAGACTGAGTACAGATCTGAAGCCTGAAGGGACGTTTTCTATCACCTCATAGTATTTATGATTGTGTGTATGTACTGTATGCATGTCAGGGGAGAGGAGGTGGACTCCGGGCAGTTTTACATCAGCCTTCCTTTGTTACTGGCAGTAGTAGGTTGTCGTTTTTCTTACACAATCCACTAAAAACAAATGTCTCCGTACACTAAATAAGTAGAGCTGAAACAAAGGGAAACAGCTAGCTCACTCTGTACAAAGGTAAAAGTTGATCCTTTTCTTCAAATTTAATTTGATAAGCTGACATGCCGCACTGAATGCATCCTTTAATGATGCACAATCAATAATGCAGCCTAATGTGCTTTGTCCTTGTG